ATCACACTTTGAAAGCCTTCTGATGTTCACATTTTGATAAATCTGAGAAGAATAAATCATTTTTGAAAAATTGAAAAATTTGTAATTTTTGCTCAAAATAAGCCGGTCCTGAAAGGGTTAAGTAGCTGATCGTTTTGTAACAACTTTTTCTTTATAGCAGTATTTCATGTAACTACCTATTGAAAATCTATCGCGATTTAAACATTATCATAGCTGTTTAAAAAAAGTTCTTTGGAAAAAAATGTATACAGCTATTATATGATTTAAATACCTAATTCACTTCTAACAAAATTTCGTATTGGACTTCTTATTGTAACCAGCAATTGAAAGTCTACCGCTATATAAAAATCATCGTACCTATTTAAACATTTTCATACATATCTTAATCGATTTGATAACTTATTATAAACAAGTAAAAGACGTATTCAATGCTCGAAATAATCCTTGCTCGAAAAAACAATTAGAATGAATGAGCACCTGAGTATTTATTAAAAAAACTACGTTTATTTCTTTAGTGTCGTTAGACATTAAAAGATTATTAATTCCCCAAATTTTCTTTTTTTTTAGCCGTTGCTCGAAATATATTAGTTAGAATACAGGACAAGCTGAATATTTCATTAAACAGCTACATTCTTTCCTTCAGTATCATAAGCGATTAAAAAGTTATTCGTTGACAAATTTTCTTTTTCTTTTTCGGTCAAGCGGCTGATGCGCAATGCGATAGATGCCTAGACAGTTTATCAATGAACTATAAGAAGTATAATCGACGTCTTTTTAAAATCTTTTTAAAATTTTGTCTTTCGTGTCGAAAAAGAAAATATTACAAAAACCAATATTATCAATAAGTTCCTTTTTGAACATTTAAACGTCTACCTTTTACATTAAAATTCTAAGCATATAGAATAAACAGAACATTACCCTTGAAGTGGATGAGCATAGATATGAAAAAGGATTGAAATAAACATAACCTCAATTCTCCTCCTTTTTTTCTTTTTTTGGTCGGGTGGGCGTTTTTTGTTAGCGTACTAGAATAGCTATTTTTTGATTAAATGATCAAAGTTTAGATGTAGATATTGTACTATTTATCGACAAGAGAACTCTATCAATTCATAGCAACATGCTTTAGGCATACCACTGATTGATTATTGAATCATCTACGTGATTCATTATATGTTATCCACTATTCTTACAGTGCGGACATATATTAATGACTTTACGAGACATTAATGTTTATCACAGTTATTGCTGATAGTATTTTATATTGAATCGTAAGAAAGACAATGTCCACATACACCTATTTATCGAGCTTTCTGTGAATAAACAGATTTTGTTACTAAAGATCAGAATCAAAACAAATAGTTGACATAAAAAACTTTATGACAATAAATTATTAAAGAGTGAAAAAATATCAATAACTTAATTGAAAGATTCAAAACTGACTCCTATTCAAACAACATATATCATCTAATCTTTCACATTTCAATCCTTTCAAAACTCAACCACATTTCAACAGAATATACTGACGAATTCTAAAAATTCCTAAAATCAATTAAATTTTCAGAGAAAACAGTAGCGAACTCTACATCTTTCTAAATTTTAGTTAGATTTGCATTAGAAAAAGTGGCGAACTCTACATCTTCCAAAATTCAATATAATTTGTATTGAAAATAGTGGCGAACTCTACATCTTTCTAAATTCAATACGATTTGTATTGAAAATAGTAGCGAACTCTACATCTTCCAAAATTTTATCAATTTCAATTTAATTTTAACCTGACTTAATATATCAGATCAGCTGGTTTTTCATCTTTTTTTCTGTTTTTTAATTTTTAACTTTAAAAAAATCTATGTTTAATTTTGCCTGACACATATATATATATAGAACGCTTCAGCATAAACTACCACAGACAGTTTCATTTACAATATTTCTAACTTATCTTTGTTTACAAGGTGTCTCTTTTCAATCAGTTTAAACAAATGAGAAACGTCGTTTATTTTCTTCAAATCATTACGGAGAAACATAAACAGCATAAGTTATCCAAATACTACTTGTAACTATGCCAACAATCGTAGTTACAATTAATTTTTCTTCTTCAATATTCCATTGTTTCTTCATTTTCTGTATCCATCGATAAAAACGTACTTGTATTGAAGTATCATGTTGAAGAAATTCATAGCGATCAATCGATAAGTCGTCAGGTCCACAAAGAAAACTTAATGGATCTTGGATAATTGAAGGCATACATGCTGTCGCAAACATCAATATAATGTTTAATGCAATACACAGTGTAAAACTAATAGAAAGTATTTTATCAGAAAGAAGAACAAAATCAGTGCCAAAACTGGTGATTATGATAACAAATAAAGCAAAAAAACACGACCATAAACGAACAGTTTGATGATATGTATATATCATGGCAATGAGAATCGATGAAAGATAAACTTCTACTAATTTAATCGAGAAAGAATGAACATTTATGCACATTTGAAGAGAACAAGATAAATCTGTTCGATTAGAACAACCTTCAGGTGAAATTGCTTTAAACGTTATTAAACGAGCATTTGTAAGACAATAAAATTTATAGGTATCACGATTACGTTCGATAAAGTATACTACATAGATGTCACTCAGCGTCAATAAGAGATGGTAGACAAGAAATTGAAAGGCCATAATGCAGAGTAATTTTACTATACGTAGATCCATATCTCCTAAATGAAATACAATAAAACAATTGTTTTTATATGAAAAAACTTTGATTCGAATTTCAAGATTTATTATATGATATAATGGAACATTTTTACTTTAAACACACTTATCATAGCGCCCTCACCCTCACATTGTGACGTGTATGTGTAATTTACACCGATCAATGTGAAGTGTGTTTAAAGTAAGAATGTACCCATAAAAGAAAAGATCTAAAAGTAGAACATTATTACCAACCATTCAGGCTTACCAAATCTCCTGATGTCCCTTGATTTTTAGTTCCGACAGATTCGATTTTAACGGCAATTAAGATCAATAAAAAAATCCAGGAGAAAAAATATAACTGCTATAGTTAGAGACAATAATCTTCTCTCAATACTGAAAGTACGTTCAATTCATCAAATGATTTCTTTCCGATAAGACTTATCTGTCTGTTTCGACGAATATTTACTGCAAGTGACGTTTAAATCATACAAAATCTTAACAAAATGCTAAAGGAAGTCAGACCAAGAATCATCTTATTGGTGGCGAAGGAAAATTTGAATAATCGGTTATTCGAGCTTTTTATTTATTTCTACGTTTGTTCTTCCTAAATGTTCAGGAACTATCAAAGCAAATTTTTCTTACCAGAAAAATGTAAGCATGCTGCCAACATCATTAGAATGAAGTTCTAGATATCTTACTTTAAATTACCGAATCGTCTTATTTTTCGGTTTCTATCATAGTCTTATAAAATAATTATGCCTACGTTTTCTTTTTGATTAAATGTACAGAAACGAGAATATCATCACAATAAAATACATTCAATTCCAATTTAACAGGTGTCACAGGAAAATATCTGAAAGAATAAACCGTAAGACCTCTTCGATGAATATTCTAGTACAGCAGATAAAGCATCAGAAAGCCTGACACCATTCGTATTCACTCTATGAGAATGAGGTTAGATGTTCCTAGCAAAATTGATTCTGAATTCAAAGTAAGAAACACTCAAAACCAAAAAAAACATAAAGTTGCTCAGGTCAGTAGTTTTCGGTGTTCTTTTGACTAGTCTTCGGTTAAATTTTTCTGGTGATCAAAGCCATGTGGGCCCGGCATTTTATAGCAATCGACATAGATGGATTTAAAGACAGACTCTTTTGATATTTTTGGGTATACAGCTAATTGTGTTTCTTGTTCGTTCATTTCATCTATGAGATAATGATTACAATTACCCCAGTTGATAAAGATAGGTCACAAGAATCTGTAATAGTGACCATTTTGCGTCCCGACGACATAACTGTCCACTACCTTCTGGTTTAGCCGATTGTTAAAAAAATATTCGTGTTATTCACCGATTTTATGGAAAAAACTCCTAATTTTGCTCCTGTGTTTTCAGAAAAAAATCTTCTGATCATATCCCGATTTGTTACAGAACAGAAAAAGATGATTCTTCCATGAGATTCGAAGAACCATGCACCTTCTGAAATCCCGGCAGATATACTACCATTAAACTCGAAAGGACCGTTTGCATATATTTCCTTTCATAGGATTGTAGTTTAATACTACAATCCTAAGAAATATACAAGCGAACATTTTTTCTTCGACTTTCACATTTAAGTTTCTGACTCATACGTAGATTTGTCTTTTTAAAATAAAATAATAAATGATTAGATTAATATCTACGAACAATTCAACATACCCCACGAAAAGTTCTTAAAGACAGGATGATAATCAGCTAATGTACGAACATTATTCTTGACAGTTGTATTCATTGTTTGTTTTGATTTATTGATATTAATAGTTGGTGGCCATGTGGATTTCCTTTGTTTGAATGTAAAAGAGCTTCTTATATGTATGATGGGTCTGCTTATGGCCTTATTAATTGTACTTGCACATGTAGCATGACGTGTAGAATATACAACATCACTTCGATATTTAATTAACATTGTAAAATCGGAGGAATTATTTGATTTTTTTTATCTATAAAAAAAATAAGCAAGCAACTTTTATTTATTATATCATGTATAAAAATTGTTTCCAATATATTTCTTTCTTTGCAAAAGATTGAAATAAAATTCTCCATGTGAATTTATCTACTTAAAATATAGAAGTTTTCTTGTTGTTTAATTAGATATTTTATTTCAAGGTTTACTATATCTGTCTCTTTAATGCAAGATTGTTTTACATTCTTATTTATTTCATATTCAAGAAAAAAAATATTGGACTTTTAACTACTTCAGAATCAGTATTATGAACAAAACCATTTATTGATCTCTCGTACATATATGTAAAATTATAATCACTAATGGTTATAGTCTCTATATGGGAGGTAAACTGCATAGTTTCAATGGTTTTATGAAAGGATGATAACGATTCTCGAGAGATTATCATCGAAAACTTTGATCGAACTATTCATATACCAATAGTTCAATAGGCTTTTTTGTTAAATATTTGAAAAATTATTTCTATCTGTATTGCTAAACATGAAACTAGTTGATTATGAAATTTATTTGCTTTTTGATTGAAATATATTTATGATAAAAATAGAAGACTGATAAAGATCGTAGAAAACATAAATGCCTAGTAAACAACGTCTAAAAGCTGATTATCTGAAAGTCTGAATGCATTAAAAAAGATTTTATTAATATGAGATTTTTCTAGCTGCTATTTGATATACATATTAGAGTTGACAAAAACAAACTCTACAATGGATACAGACATTTTTTTCATGATTGTATATGAAGAGAGTAAAATAGTTAGTCCTAAAAAATAGACACATGATTCTAGTTATATCTTCTTTTATGACTAGTGTCAACAATCTTACTAGAAAAGTTACTTTTTACTGATTTCGATAAATATTAGTAATAAACTTCGCTTTTTCCTTCGTTGTTTTTTTTTCAGTATTCATATAATAAAAAATATCTATGAAGAATCACATATTTGAATTCTTCATTCATCTTTGTTTTTTGCTTTTAATCCTTGAAATAACTAAGTTTTAATATTCATCATCATATAGTTATAATTCATATCTATTCACACAATTGTCTGCATAAAAACTAGTATCATCTTCCTTAGATATATATACAAGACTATAGAAGAATTTTCTAAGGATGAATGATGGTATAAAATAAGATATTTCATCATATAATCTATTCAATAAATAGCAAAAAAAAATGATTGAAAACTTTCCTAATTTATGTTCTCTCCTACCAAAAACACAACGATATAGTCACAACCTTATGTCTATACACGCAGCAATACAGATCGAGTTCAGTTAAAAAAGACTTTTTAAAAGCATTTTCACAACATATCTGTTTTAATTATTGATTATACAATAATATGAAATATTTTACTTCATTCTAATTTGTACTTTTATAAAAACTATCCGTGCAAATTTATAGAAAATGACATACGTTATTTGATTAAAACGCCCAAATTTATTGAGCTTCGGTGAAAAAATCTACTTTAAATAATGTCTATTGGACATTATGTGAAACGAGAAATATGAATGGCTGTTTTAAATATATACTACATAATAGATATCTCTTGTCATCAATTTTTAATAATTCGAAAAGTAAATATCCGTCGCGAACACTTTCCAAGAAGAGTAAAAGAAGATCGATCTTGCTAATTTACGGATAAAATAATTTTTCTTACGATTCCTTGTATTGAAAAAAAAACAGAAGCTAAACACAAATTTTGTTGACCATGACGTGCAGATAGCTTTGTTTGCTCGTCCTATATATAAGCATGAATATGCATAAATAGATAAATATAAGCCAATAATAATTGTACTCGTTCTCTTTTCACTTTTGTTCGTTGCCATGGACATATTGAAACAAGAGCAATATTTGGTTGACCGTAGAAAAACAGAAAGGAAAAATATCGAAGGAAAATATGTAAGAGAAAATATGCGAAATTCAACTAATAAGATATTCTTTATTTCTGTCATAGTATTAACATGGTAACAGAAATTACACACAAGTCAAAAAATAAAAATAGAAAAAAAATTGTTAGCACAGTCTCTTTTAGGGCTGAAATGCGAAACTCATGTGTTCTTTAGCCTCATTATACTAGTTCGAAAATACATTAGGTAAAAACTGTTTTCGTAAACTAGAGTTGTTCCCCAAGATAATCGGCCGACAGAGAAACGATATCTCTGTTTATTCGTCATTTCGAACAGTTTTTTTTATTACTTTTACGGACGCTCTCTTATCTGTTTAGCTTGTTGCTATTTGCTCATTGTTTTTTTTCTCATTTCGTTTTTGTTGTATTTAATATTGCTATTATTCTAAGGATTGAATTAAGTCACAATCAACTCTGTAGTATGTTATCCATTATATCTACGGCAGCCAGTCTTAACTCATTATTATATATCTCGATAAGTTTAGACACATTAATATTGATTATTTCCGAAAGTTATAAGTCGCTCAGTTCATGGTCTTTATATTGATCACACAACGACTCCGATAAATCAACGCATGGCAACCGATCATCTTTGACATCCTGAATATAAATTCTTATCTGAGCACAAATCAAAAACTGCGTTATTTCGAACGTTCACAAATGGATTCTGGTCATTCTGATTCGGAGAAGGACCTTGGAATATTCTAGAACAGTCTAAATTTTTTCGTTCAGCTCCTTTTCTTTTGGGAAGGTACTATGGGAAAGGAGTTCGACATTGCTTTCCTATTTGCTTAAATTTGTAATGAAGAGAGCTGTCAGCAAAGCTGGAAAACTTTGACTTAAAACTTCCACTCACTATATTCTTCAAAAATATGTGGTTTCATAAAATTATAGAGCATCATTTTTCCATTTAGCAACTGTAAATGACGAATAAATTAACTATTCAGTTACATTTGTAAGGACATCATAATGTTGTTCACCAAGATTATTTGTATGACGTTGCATTGGAATTGTTTTGGTTTGTTTTATTCTTGCACTTGAACTGGCAGTTTATTTAGTATGCATGCTTTTTGAATGTGGACAGTACTCACCAATAATTGTAACCAATTGGTCAT